CGGTTTAGGAGATATGCACATTAAACCTATTAGAGGCGGGACCACGCCCACTTTTTAAAAAAAAAAAAAACAGTGATCCTGTGTACCAAATAACAGTCTTGTATCTTATTGCGGAGCTTAGTTATGGCAAGTTATTTGTTTTTGATTAATGGCGTTTTGTGGGCGTGGCAGTGGTCCGATTACGCCCATCTGCAATACCAACCGTCTCACGGTACCATGAAACATGTCTACCAAGTTTCATAAAGATATCTCAATTTTTACTCAAGTTAGAGCTTGCACGGACGGACGGACAGACGGACGGACAGACGGACGGACGGACAGACAGTCACCCGGATTTCAACTCGTCTCTTCATCCTGATCATTTATATATATATAACCCTATATCTAACTCGATTAGTTTTAGGTGATACAAACAACCGTTAGGTGAACAAAACTATTATACTCTGTAGCAACAGGTTGCGAGAGTATAAAAATAAGAATTAAAAAAAAAAACAAATAAAAAAATTGACAAGAAAAAAAAAAAAAAAACCAAAAAAAAAATTTAATAAAATAAATTAAAAAGAAAAACAAAATAACAAGTAAAAGTAAAAAAAATTAAAAACAAAATATAACAGTAAAAAAAAAAATAATAAATTAAAAACAAAAAACAGATAATTACATATTATAAACAAAAAAAAAAAAAAATAAATAAAACAATATTAAAAAAAAATTAAGAAAGTAAAAAAATTAATAAATTCAAAAACAGAAATAAGCAACTAAAAACAAAAAAATATAAACAAGTTACAAAAAAAAAAGAAAATATAATATTGTAAAATATTAAAAATAAAAAAAAAATTATAGAAAAAAACTTAAAAGAAAATATATAAAAAAATAAAAATTAAAAAAATATAAAAAAAAAAAAAAAATTAAAAAAATATATAAAAAAAATTTATGAAGATATAAAAAAAAAAAAAAAAAAAATATATCAAAAAACTATAAAAACGTAAAAAAAAATTAAAAATATTTAACATAATGAATATAAGACATATCAAAAAAAAACTTAAATAAGTAAATAACAATATTTTTTTTTCTAAATTTGCAGCGATTTATAATATAAATATAACTGTATAACAGCTGTGGCATACTAAACCTCATAATTGTAATTAAAGTAAACTACAATAAAAATCGAATAAATACATATACAAATATTTACTCAGCGTTACTCAGAAAGCTAGCAGCTGTGCGATTGAATTCACTAAATAATGTATTAGCCTTTGTTGGAGACCTTGAACTTTACGTGGCAGTTGTAAGGTGCACGCAAACAAGTTCGCTGTTCATGTAACTGGATTTGTGACGTTATTCGTGCTAACAAAAAAAATTGTAAATAATACAAAGTCACATTAGCTGTGGAGTATGGTGAGAGTTTGGGCTACAAACACGGCATGGAGAGGAGAAGAAATTGATTTTTTTATTTTTGGTATGAATCGAAAAAAAAAAATAATTATTGAAGATGACCTGGCTTGAGTGGAACAAGTTTCTGAGCTGTAGAAACGTTGATTTTAAACCAAAATAAGCTGATATTTTTTAGCGATAAATAAAAATAAGTGTCTCTCCTCAAAGTGACTACCAAATTCCAAATAAATAGCTGATAACATGATACTATATATAAAAATAAATTCTTCGAAAAAATTTTACCACCATAAAGAATTTTTTGTTTTTTTGAATATGCATTAATCACTGTTATTTGTATTATAGATCTTACGCCAAACAATGACTGTCTGCATTAGAGTTGTTATAATGAATATTTTCTGGAAACTCATTCACGACACAGCTTATCTAAATATGTTAGACCGTTGTTCCGGTCACAGCAACGACTAATTCAACAAATATTTAAAATTAGTTAACGTGCTCCCATATACTTACAAAAATGGGTAAAATAGCGCAGACAAGTATGTGTACATACATATGTACATATGTATATTAATCTTCCCTATAAATGTATGTAAATAGTTAATTTCACATTCAGTAATCACAGTTGAATGTATGTGGGGACACCGTTTTCAAGTGTAAATTTTTTAAATTTTCATTTTATTGTTTTTTTTTATATTATTTTTTTTTTTTCGTAAAAAACGAATGGCGTGAGTCAACGTTGAACAGTGCAATGCTCACACTTTTATGTGAATTGCGTATGTATATATACATATATGTACATACAAATTGGTCAACAGGTTTATTTTATTTTTTTCATAAGAGAAAACAAGAACAAAAACCCCTTTGCGTTAGTATGACGGTAATTAATTTGGTTAGCGGATGTGTAGAGCAGATAATGCAAGCGGGCTAAAAGCGCTGTTTCGACTGTTTTCGGTATAATGTGAAGCGTATATTCATTTAAAAAATATATACATTTGTATAGACATATATACTAGGGTGGAGCGGAAAAAATTTTCTTTGTGCTTAGCCTGAATGTCGAATTTGTAGATTATAGAAAAAGAGAATTTTTGGAAAAAAAAATTATTTTTTTTTAACACTCACACCCACTTACTTTTAACGTAAATTTCGAGTTAAAATTTTTTTGGACAAAAAAAATTTTTTGGTTTAAACTCTTCACATTTATATAGAAATTACCGGCTTTGACGGTTTTTGACTCTATTGACTTTATTTTAACGCATAAGGCAAACATGTTGTCGTTTAAGAATTTTTTTTTTAACTCCAATAAGGACCACAACTTTTAATTGGTCAGAAAGAGGACTCTCCACAGCTTCTAGAATACTTATCAAAAAATGTTTTTGAAATAAAAAGTTTAACTCGAAACTTTAATTTAAAAGTGAGAGGTAAAAAAAATTGAACCTCAGGCTAAGCAAAAAAAAAATTGTTTTTTTCGCTCCACCCTAATATATACATATGTACAGGGTATATATAATTGTGCAAGTACTTTTAAGTACTAGTGTAAGTAAATTATTCTGATGCGTCACAGTGCGTCGACCTACTTGCAGTTCCAGAGCAAACATTCTATAAAAGTACAAATACTTGGCAACCGCAAAAAATGTGTTGACGTTCTGAGATTCCGAAACTTAAAAAATTGCAAAAACTAAAAACACAAAATAACAAACAGCAAGAAAAAATGTTAATTTCGGCTGCACCGCAGCTATAGTACCCTTCACATAAAAAAATTCCTATAAGAATTTGATTTTGATCGTTCAGTTTGTATGTCAGCTATATGCTATAGAATCACAATGTTACAAAAATTAAGTTAAGACTGTGAGAGCATTTAAAATTAATTTATTGCTTCTACTTATTTTTATTTCTTCGCATAGATTATTATACCTGCCATTATCATTTGGTGTGTGCGAAAACGATGAGAGCTTAAGTTAGTAAGTGTATTGCATAATAACTTGAAAAGCCAGGCGTTTTTATATGCACACTTATCTACATACCATACATACATACATATGTACATCACAGCCTTCTCTGTGCATATTTGTTTATTAATTAGCAGCAGTAGCAGCGGCATACAGCTTATCTGAGCGGGGAGTTTGGCGCCATAAAACGCAGGCGAGTTATACAGAAATAGAGAAATTTATGTAGAAATATTAATAGTAAAACACAAAGTAATTATATAGTTCTACATATGTATGTATATACGTCAATGCATGCAGCTGGTTTAGCAACACTTTTTAAAAGTGTACAATATCAAACATTTAGGTAAATAATTTTGGAGGTTAGATTTACTCATACAAGTAGATAAAGTTTTACTCCTTGCACTAACAGCAACTAAACACTTCTTTCAAATGTCAAATATTCTGCAAAATGTTCAATTCACAGTAGTTTAGAGCAAACTTCTTTGAGACTCTACTGACGATTGTAAAATTTTTTAGTGCGAATAGTTAATTTAATGGGTGCCAAATCATTAAACATTTGTGCAACCAACTACAACAAGCCATCTACATAAAAAATATTTTTCACACAACACAGTGGGCCATGGTAAAAGCGGTGAGAGTCAACCCATCATATGACTTTAAATGCTTTTCAGATTTCTTTCAAAAATTCACTTTATTTACACTTCTTAAGTCATGATTCGTTGGATTTTTGCAGATACTTTAAGCTCAAGTAATTTTTTTTTTTACTCAACTCAATTTTTATTTTTTTGTTATTGTCAGCTTGTGTGCGCATGTGTGTCGTGCTTGGCTACCGCCTATTTTGCTACTTTTCAATTTTATCTATGGCAGTTCTTTGCTTTGCCGGCACAAACTTGTTTTGCCGACATGGTAAATCACGATGAGTAGCCAACAATGACTTCCTCTGTCGTTGTTGTTGCTGTTAAATACTTTGTCTTCTAGTTTTTATTTTTTATCCTAACTGGGTCAGCAGTTTTAGACGTGTTTGCTAGGGTATTGCAAAAGCGTTGTAAAGAAATTTAGGTTCCAACGGTTTTTGAGTAATCGTATTGGAGGGGGGGATCACGTGCCCATTACTAGTACAAATATATACCTCAATGTAATAACATGTATTTAAATCTAAATTTCAAAGAATTAAATATGGTTTGTTTGCTTGTTTAAACAATATTTACAAACTTCTCTTGACATTTTTCGGAGCTGTGAGATCTAACTGCACACAAGCTTTCATACAAATATTATAAAAATGCAAAAAAAATCGACTTTATACAAAAACTGCTTATTCTGTGACTGTGATACACTTAAAGTATTTGTTTGAAATATAAATTTTTGTAGTGTCATTTACCTTTGAGTTCTGATTAGTTACAAGTAAGGCGAATCGCATACATCAGCATATAAAAAAAAATACATAAGAAATTTAAGATATTAAATTGGATATTCAAACAAAACAAATATGAATATTATTGTAGAATATGATTATGTAAATAGCATTAGACACAAAGTAATGGTTAAATTTTACTAGCAAAAGCAGAGACATGCATGCGCCCACACCAACAAGCAATGACACTACACAAAAATTTTGCATTACGACATAAATGACTAAGTGACATGCTAACTACAACAACTTACCCTTGACCACTGGTTCTGACACGAGAGTCATTTCCTCTTGTGGTATCATTTCCATTAGTCGCGCTATGTCCTTGGCCAACATATTATCTACAACATCCAGTAAATGTGGTTTTAGGGAATGGAATTTGCTAAAGTCTTGATGCTGCAGCACCTCCTGCATTTTCTTGATGTCTGGGAAATCACCCGGCGAAATGGAGTGTTCACGTTGAATTCGATCATAGATTTGACCCAGATTCTTAATTAGATCCTTCTTTTTACTATCTTTACCAAACACTGATGGCATATCTTTGCGTAATTCAGAAATAATGAAGGCATGTACCTTCGCCAGACGCGCACGCTTAATCAAATCGTTAAGCTTGCGTAGCGCTGCATTACGTGGCAGTGATTGCAAATCCCGAAACAGATCTTGTTCTTCATCTTCGAAAAGGCGACGATTGGCATCGAAACGTAATGGTTGATCCCAGAATGAACCGATATAGACACGTGCTACTTCGGGTGTTTGCAGCACTTTGCCCAAAGACCACATAAGCGCACCGTATACACGCATTAGCTGTTGGTGATCAATCATGTCAGCCTTGTTGAGTATAATGCGGATTTTATCATCATGACCCTTAAGCGCTTCAATGGAACGTCTAAACTCGTCTGAGATATCGAGTTTATGAGCGTCGAAGAGTAATATAATTCGATCCACACGCTCTGCAAACCATTCTAAGACGCCGGTGAAATCGTAACCACGATCGATACGTTGTTTTTCGCCTGATAATATACCAGGTGTATCAACAATGGATATCGCTTGCAAGACGGGTGAGTTGAGAGTAGAACATTGAAAACGATTTAAAAAGGCATTGCCGTATTTGCTTAGTGGACGGAATTGCTTTTTCGGATCGACAACAAGTGCATTACCAGGTATGACACCCTCCTTTTCATCATGCATTACGGCAATGAAACGATCTGTTGTGGGTTCAGGGCCAATACGAATGCCGGGGAAGTCGCGTTCCAGCAGGTAACGTATAAATGTCGTTTTACCAGTGGAGTATTGGCCCACCAACAATATCATTGGCTTCGCATCAAAGTCAGGGTCTTCAAGCTTGGGTGAATGAAAATCATGGAACTGGTAGTGCTCCTCCAGAGGCAACAGCTTGCTGCGATAGATTTTCTTTAGCTCGCCAACCACATTCTCCACCACTTCTTGATTATTTTTCTCGCGCTTTAGAAAACTAAACATTTTGTTACAATTTTACACAATATAGCGAACGTTTTTGTAGCGGCAACTTTACACGGCAAGACTTCACTTCACAGAAAGGGCTGTAATAATTTACAAGAAAACAAAAAAATAACACACTAATTTAATATTGCATGGATTTCTATTTGGTTTTTCAACTTTCGCTTTTTATTTTAATTGAATTTCACGAATTCGTCCTACAATACTTGGCTATGAATCACACACACGTATACAAATTTATTTTTGGAAAAATTCCGTCACAATTTTCTTTCCACTTGCACCACTGCCACTTGTAAGTGTATATGCTGGGACTTGCTGGCGTTTATTATCCGTAGGCAGGTATTCCGCCCCGATATTTCTCACTGAGAAGCAACAATTTTCACTACGCCCCTTCCACAATCTTCAATATGACACATTACCAATACACTAACTGTCTGATCTACCAAATCCTAAACGAACAGTCTATTGCCAGGTAACAGTAATTTATAAGGACTTCAATGTTCAATTTAATTTTAATATATAATTAGTTAATTACATTTAATTTATCTGTTCGTTCCGTCCACGAATCTGCACAAACTCGACTAGACACTACCACCAAAAAATCTGAATCAAATGTGAATATCATTTACGTTCTCTGGTAAAATATGAATAAGCAGAGATGAACGTCATCGGCTTTTTGACATTAGACAATGACGTTTTTAATTGGAAACCAACTGGAAAGTTTGACAAACGAGCAAGTTGCCACATTGCAGTTATTAAAATGTGGCCATATGACGTTAAAAGCTATTTGATAAAGGAAGGAAGATTTAAAACAATTTATTTCCTTTCAAATTAATTTATTTTTTATATAGAAACTTAATTTATGAAAAAACTGAATTGGTAATTTATCAAATGACCATAAAAAGTCTAAATTTTTGTAAAGCGTTGAATTAAATTAAGTTTTATTTAATGTAAGGGGGTAACGAATTTTGTAATACAGTATTTAAAATGATAACAAAGTTGAGATAACAGTAACAAGCTCGAAGCTAATAACAGTAAACGTTTATGGAAATAAATCATAAACAATAGTTATTTGGGTTGGTAGGGGTGCTCAAAGAATCTAATAATAATTATGGATATTTAAAATAATGGACTCATTCTAACCTCCTGATATTATTCTAACATACATCCACACATCAAGGCAAATGTACACGCGTATACAAACATATATTTATATCTTTGTGTCATAGCAAAACGGAAGTTAAATTTTCACAGTCGCGCAATCTTTGTGAGCTTCACTGGCGTCAACCTTCTATTACAGTACGCACACTACACCGTAATTATTGAGTTTGAACACAGGCTCCTCCGTTGAGGTCACAATCACTTTGGCGCCATTATACTTAATAGCCTTGATTTCATTTGAGGGTTATACTGAAAATTCCAACGACGCTAAAATGCCAATACTAGACTATCAAGTACATACATATGTACAAGAGTACAAATTTGAAAACATATCATGGATTGTTTGTGGATGTGCGCATGCAAGGATGCGCAATAGTGGGGAGCATATAAGCTATTGATAATAGAGCTGATGCTGTATTATGTGCTCTTCAAATATGCATAAGTTAGTATGAATTGGCCTCCGCTTGGCATTGACATTGTTGTCATAGAGATAGCCATTTACCGCCCCCAAATTTAATTATATTTATTTGTTTTTAACCACAGCGTGGGGGATTGAGAGAATTCAGTATAATAAATAGCGTGTAAATGAAACAGAAGAAAAACGAGGAACAGATCGCACAACAGTGTTGGCGTATGACTGCCAGAGGGCGGCTAATGACTCGTTGCTGTGACAATTGGCGGGGGTGTAGCAATAAATATACATCGTCTAGCAGGTGTATGTAGAAAAGTAGGCGATTTTGGACGCTATTGATGGATGGTGAGGGGAAATAAGAAACCAGATGATATAGCAGCTAATTCAGTAAGCATATAAAATGCAAAGAAAACGAAAATGAAATAATATTGGAAGAAAGAATACTTGCGTTGGAACGAAAGACACATTAAAAATTAAATTTTATTAATTTCTTTTTGGTTTTTTGTTATTTTTTGTTATCGGGGTTTTGCCTTCATATTTGTCGCGCTTTGCTTCAATAATTTCTGTAAGTTTTTTGTTTGTTTGTTTGCATAACGTAATTAATACATATTATATCTTAATATCAGCAATATCATAAACCTTTTACACGCCGTCTTCATCTCTATATCTTCATTTGCGGTAGCTTTATAGTTAATTTTCATATTTCATATTAACGTTAAGTATTTGTATATAGTATGTATGTATGTATAGGGGTAGGTAATTGTTACATTATTACACTTGTAAATTTCCATTACAATTATTATTGTTATAATTCATCGTAATTGCATCAAGTTGCATATATGTATGTAAGTATGTATATATTTTCAATACATTATTGTTTTTCGTTATGTTTAGCCTTTTCTTCTATATTTTAATTATGCATGTATACAATTATTAAACCAATGTTTTTAAATTGTTTTGTTTTTAGGTTTTTGTTTTGTTTTTTTATTCCAACATGAGACTACTAAACCTAAACCACCTTCGACTCTCTTCTTGCATAATATATTTGTTCAAAACTTCTCGCAAACGCTATCGGTATCGCTACCAAACGTTAATTACTTGATTATTATCAGTACATTAATCGGATAGTAATCCGCTCGAGTGACAGTGCCACAAAAATACAAACGGACAAGTTTTGGCTTTGTGCTTAGAAAAAACAAAATAGTAAAGTCAAAATGTGAAAAGTATTTAAATATGCACTTAAGATAGCATGGAATGTAAGACAACAAAATAGTATGAGCATTGTGTAGTATTAAAGCAATTGTTTGCATACAAAATAATTAAAGCAAATAGTTTACTTAATAAAGTGTTATTTAAAAACTAGAAAATTTTACGAATAATATTCAAATACTAATAAAAAAAAACATATATGAAACCGAACTTTCTTTGAAAATTAGTTTAATCAACCAAAAAGCTATTAGTTCTATTACATTGCGCTTTATTTATCAACTGGTTAACAATTTTCCCTAAGTAGCTCTTTATAAAAGGCAGCAAACTTTCGTAAAACATTTCAAATGAATACATGCACGTATATACGTATCACTTTCAAACACTTAATTGTTTAAAATCCATTTAAAGTTAGCTTCAAACAAAAACTTTTCAAAACTTTGTGAAACCGCACATCCAGCGCTGATAGCTTTTAATGCTTTTTCTCATTGTATCAGCACACATTTTGCTGTACTTACATATAAACACAAATGTTTGCTATTTAAACATATTTTCGACATTCTTTAACAGCTTACATAGTTACATGATTAATTTTAACAAACTAAAATTATTAGTTTAACACAGCTAATTATAAAACCTATCCGTTTTATTTTCTAGACCACTGTTTATTTTGGTTTCCTTTTATATACGTATATTTTATTTATTAGTTTAAATTATGACACTTGTTTTTAGTTTCAGTGGTACACCATTTTCAATACAATACAGTTCAGAAGGTTTCGTGTTTAAACTTTATGTTTATTTAGTTTATTTAAGGTCTTTTCAATAAATGTATAAGGTATATTAAGGTATTTAGGAATTAGGGAGCTCTCGCTCTCGTGTTTCTTTAAACTTATTTATCGTTTTTGTTTTTATTCTTGTTTATGTCTGTTTTACTTCACCTCGAAAACATATATACGATTAATGTAAGAGTAATAATAAATATACACGTATATAATATTATTGTATTATGCTTAATAAATACATATATATAAATACAAATAACAAAACAACACACACAATGTAGGTAAGTTTAGAGCAAGAAATGGGGAATTGGGAACAAGTTTGCTTTTATGTGTATATGAGTGTATGTATAGGGTAAGGTATGCAATGACTTAAAAATTACAACAATTTTAGATGATTTTTTTTTTTTTGTGATAACAGGCTGATAGGTAGGCAATAAGTTAGGAATTACATAAATACTCATAGTAGCACAATCAATTTTCGGGGTTTGTTTTTGTTATTTTTGTTTCATTAAAGTTACAAATATCATTTTTAAAGTTCCAAGATTTCAAATTGAATTGTAATTGAAGTATTTATGAATTGATCTTTGAATTTTTTTTATAAATCTTATAATTTCCATTGAGTTTAATTAATTATAATAAATACACATCTCAATTGTTTGCGATTTTCTTTGATGCTTCTATGCTTTTAAGTAGCTTTAAATTTAATTAACCGTTAAATTTAATATTAAATAATTAATTATTGTTTGTCAACTAGTTGCTTATGGAGTGATGAAGTGTTTTGCTCTCATCAAATGTAACAGCTAAGCCTGCTCCCCTTAATTGCCATTGGGCAGTGGAACCACAATTTGCACATATGACTGTGGGAAGTAGCCGGTGCGTCCATTTAAAGAGCCTTCATACCAATTGTCGTCCACACGGCTCAACAATGTAATGGTATCATTTTCTTTGAAGCCCAATTCGCCCGGATTTTCTGGCTCGAAATCGTACAATGCCTGACAGCATGGTTGCTGTTGGCGTTGTGGTGTCGTAGCTCCCGGCACCAGCGATTTGGCTGGCGAGCGCAAGGGCGAGGGTAGCGGTGATGCCGCTGAAGCCCTATGTGCCGGTGTGCTCACGCTGTCCGTATCGTTAGTGCCGGTGCCATCGAGATTCAGATCTAACAATGTTTTGGGCACAAATTCAGCTTTTGGTCGGGATTCAGCCTCTTCTCGTTTTTCATGAAGTGTCTCCTGCAAGCCACGCAGTATTTCAGCGCACTGCGAGTGGAATTCGAAAAGCGCCTCAGCGAACGTTACCAATTGTGACACGTGTTCTGTGTCATTTTCGAGCAAGTTAAACATGCCCATTTGCGCTAAATGCAGCGATTCGGCAAATTTCTCTTCGGCGCCACGAATCTCCTCGTCTTTAGCTTGCCGGCGACGCTTGCAGTCAAAGTCGAGGCGTCTTCCCTGCAACTTCTTACGATGATGCATTACCTCCTTTAATTCTTTAGTTTGTAAGTGGTGTAATGGTTCTAAGACATTTTGCTTAATATTGTCATCCAGTGAGTATTTTACATCAGCCATTTGTTTCAGCGCTTCACCGAATTCGACAAGCGCTTGCGCGAATACACTATTATCTTCACCCAACTTCTTGCCATACATTAGCATACAATCGGCGAGTAGACCTTCTGGTTGAGGGTACGTATTGGACTTGGCTTGTCCGGATAGTTTCGATATACCCTTGACTGCTGCCATTTTAGCACGTGCCGTTGGATTTGGTTGAAGGAATTCCTTCGTCTTCAACTGCAGCTCCTCGACCAGTTCAACGGTGACGTCCGTCTTACGCTCCATTTCCATGAAGTCCATGTCCAGCTTTGTGCCCTCCGCCCCACCCATTTTTTCCGTCACATACTGGTTCGCCTTGTTAATTTGTTTCTTTAATCCTGCGAACGCCATCCCTGCAACTTTCGCTTTTTCACTCAGTCGTCAAGTCACACTGTGAATTTCACTAGAGCTATTAATTACGCGTTTTTCTGGTTTTCCAAACGATTCGGCGACTTTGTGGACTTTCGATTTGCACTTGGAATTTGTTTTTTATTAGATATTCCGATTTTCTCCAACTTTATTTAATTTTTTTGGCTAATGGACTTTTCTCGCACTGCAAATCGATATTTCACATCCAAAGAATTTGTGTACTTCGTAGCGGAGCTTTTGGTGTGTGTTGGAGATAGGAGAAGAAATGACTGGAAAATGTTTTGCACTGCGCCAACATTCGCCAACAGTGGGGGGCGATTCGACCCTGACAATTTGACATTTGGCAGTTTTGGGGCTGATTATGACATTCGTTGAAAAGCTCTTTTCAGCTGGTAAGGCAGTCTAATGTTTAACATAAATAAAGCAGTTTCAAGTACAGGGTGTATTTGTAATCATATACAATTCAAATGCGGGCGGAAGGAAATATTTCAAAATATTTTTTATTTCATAACAAACACCATGTATTGAGAGTTTAGTTTTTTTGTAAAAATTGTGTGAATTAGATGTAATGTTTCGAAATATTTTATAGCAAGATTTATCAAATTGATATGTTAAAATAAAGGTAATTATATTCTGTTAATGCAATAGTTATTGCTATCATATTTAAATGCTTATTGCCTCTGCGGCAGCTGGCGCACTTGCTTCCGCTGTTGCAGCTGCTTGTGCTCTCGCTTTTGCTTCATCATCTATGGCCTTCAACTCAGCTTTGGACTTCGATAGTTGTAAGGCGACGCAACGCATTTGAAACCAGGGCAATGTGGATACAGTACCGCAATTATTGAATCCGGATTCAGAATTGCTAAGTGTGTCTTGTACACGCTGTTGCAAATCAGCGGGTAAACCGGGAGTAACGAGAACTTTCTGCGCTTCTGCATTAAGAATGACATTTTGGAAAAACTGCGGTGGTGGTGGGCCAGATCGCGCAATACCCAAGCCCAAACCAAGATTCAATTGTGCCTGTAAGGTAAGTTTGTAGATAGTTATATTTAGACTGCGTTCATAAACGTTTATAAAAAGGTGTATCAATGCAGGTGCTTCCGTTTGAGGTTATGAACACACGTGTAGGTATGTATGCAATATAAAAGTGATCGTATTTAAACATAAAGCTTACCTTTACCGCTACAATACCGCAAAACAATGCTAAAATTACTAAAAATTTCATTCTAAGTTTTTGTTAGAATTCAAAAGCCGACTAATAATTGGAATACAAATTTTTGGTTTTAGCGTTGCAGCGGTTTCGTTGCACTTTTCGTTTTTAATTGTTCTCGTTACCGTTTATTGTGGCTTTTATATCCCAGTTTGGTTGGAAGCTTATCTCGGCTATGCGTAGATTTTTCCTTTAAATTGTTTATTTGCATTATTTGACATTTGTATTACATATACCATATACGTATGTAAATGTCGGTTAAACGGTAGCAGTTTTATTAATAAAAATTGCATATGATGCTAGTATGTATATAAATGTGTACAGGTGATTGTGTTATCTTTTGTTCCAAGCTTTGATTTACACATCTATTATTATTTGCACTACAAGCACAATTTTTAGATGAAGTATGATCTAATTGTGCTGAGATCAGTTACGCATAGCAAATAGAAAAAAACACTTGCTTGCTCACGTAGAAATGGTTGCAGAATTTTATTTTTTTCTCAAACAATGTATGCACATATGTATATATATATAATACATATGTATGTAAGCGTGGGTGTAAACAAAATTTGCTTGTTCGCATTCCATGCATTTGCTTGCATATATTAAATATGTACTTATTTTTCTATAGGTATATTTTTATGTGTTGCAAATATTGCATTAAAAAATAATTGAATTAAATTTTTTTTTTAAATTTGTAATCCCAAATACGGGATTAAAAACAAATGTGTTAAATTCCGCATACCGGGTTAAAAAATAAAACAAAAAACAATTTTAATCGCAAAAATCGGATTAAAAATTTTTATTTGCTTTATAATTTTAATTTTAGCGCGTTCATTCAAACCAAAAAGTATTAAAAAAATTAATAAAAAAAACTACTTTATTAATTGATTACACATTTTCAGGGCATATTTATACTTATTTTAAGAATACACTGTAAAATTTGTAAAGAAAAAATTATATATTTTTGACTAATTCACGATCTTCGACGGCGCTAAAAAATGTGATGGAAAAAAAATCAAAAATTGATCGTTTGATCTGCGTTTAAAAATATGTGAAGTTTTTTCAAAATTTTGGTAATTCTTGGTCTGCCAAAATTCGATAAATATTCAGAAACTGATAGATCATTGAATTGAAAACTATATATATAAAACATGCAGAAACAGTTTTGATAGTGATCATAACATTTGTCTCCGGGTAAGGCACTCAAGCGAATTTGAAAAATGTAGTTTTGCGAAAAACGCGTTTACCATAAAGATAAACTGATGGAGCAGTTTGAACTGAGCGGCCGCACTTTAAAAGGCTGCAACTCAAAAACTATTTGAGTTATCGATTTAAAGTTTTAGTATTTTATTTTCAAAGGTATAAGCTATCGAAATAGGATTTTTGTTTTAATTTTCAAAATACATTTTCATGTGGTATTTGTAGCTGTTTTATGCACTTGTACATATAATATATGCAAATGAGTTTGGAGGCGCATGGCCGTCTGTTTCAGCAACAATCTTAAATTTGTTTTTGTTATTTACTTCAGTGCTTATATATATTAATCTATAATAATACATAATTTTTGCTTTCCTATAGCCATGCAAGTAGATAAGTTTTCTTAAAATTAATTTCATTAACAAATATGCTTACTAATAAAAAAAAGTTATGCATACCTATATGCTTATAAAAGTACTTATATCTATAGTCTACATCTATATAAATCTTAAAGTTGGTTGAATATTTGGTTAAATTTTTTTTTCAAAAGGGGTTCCATTTCTTAATGCAAATAGCAGCGAATAATATCAGTTGCATTATACCTATACAAAAGCAAATGTACGTATGTAAGTATGCGTATATTTGCGAACACGCGTTTTTATTAAGTGCGTGTAAACATATTTATATAAGCAAATATTTTTTTTCTTTCATTTCAAGCTCCAACATGCTGCTTATTTTTACAGGTGAATGCATAGCACTGAGCCTTGTTTTTGTTGTAAGCGCATTTGTTGTCGCTTATTTTCTTTGCAAAATTGAAAAACTAAACAGTTTCCTTGTCAATTGCTGCAACTGCTCGACTTGCTTTCCTTATTATTATTATTTTTTGTTTTCGCCTTTTGCTTTTATTAATGCCTTTTTGCTAAAACTGCTTAGATAAAGCCGTTACCTGTTGCCTTCTGATGGTAAAGTATATTATTAGTATTTATTTTTGTTGTTGTTAGTATTATCTAGCACTGAACCAGTAGATATTTGTTGAAACATCTGCTGTCCCTTTTGGCTGGGTTCAGTTGAACGAGTTTTTCTGCGATGCTTTTATGTTTATACAGCGCTACATTCATATATAATATATGAGCGTACATAGTATATATTTGTCAATGTAAAGAAGTTGCATACATACACACACACACGCGTAAAAGCATTCCTCAGCTTGCTGCAGTGCTGTCGCTGTTTTTGCTATTGGCATTTCCTGCGGTTTTCACCCTTTATCATTCTACTGGAATTTTCAACAAAAAAAAAAAACAAGAAAAGCCGTTAACTATGGTTGCACCGAAGCTATAATACCCTTAACAGGTGCATTTTTTATACTAGAAAAGTGTATAAAAAGAACTTTATCTTGATTCCGATCGTTTAGCTTGTATGGCGGCTATATGCTATAGTGGTCCGATATCGGTGGTACCGACAAATTAACAGCTTCTTAGAGAGAAACAGACGTGAACAAAATTTCAGATCGATATCTCAGGGATCTGTTCGCGTAAATACAGCCAGACGGACATGGCTTAACCGACTCAGCTCGTCATACTGACCATTAGTGTGGAACGAACATTTTTTTTTTAGATTATAAAAAAAAAAAATTTAATAACCTACTCACTTTTAAAGTAAAGTTTCGAGGTAAAATTTTTATTTCGTAAAAAATGTTTGATAGGTGTTCTAGAAGCTGTGGTGACTCCTCTTTCTGGCCAATTAAAAGTTATCAACTTAAAACAAATCATTGTGGTCATTATTGGAGTTTTAAAAAATAGTCTTAAACGATAACAAGCTTTCCCTAAGCGTTAAAATAAATTTTGAGTCAGAAAACGTCAAATTCGGTAATTTTAATATTTATAAATGTAAAGAGTTTAAACCAAAAAAAATTTTTTTTTGTCCAAAAAAAATTTTAACTCAAAATTTACCTTAAAAGTGATGATAAAACTTTTTTTTTTCCAAAATTTTTTTTTTTCAAAAATTTTCTTGTTTTATAATCCACAAATTTTATCCTCAGGCTAAACAAACAAACATTTTTTTTTCGCTCCACCCTACTGACCATTTATATCTATATTCTATATGTGATCCCCGACGTTGCCTTTTGGGTGTTACAAACTTCGTGGTCAACTTAATATACCCTTTTCCGTGTACATAACAGATTTACAAAAACATTAAAAAAGTCTGCAAAACGATAACTTTTCTACAGACTCAAGACACCGTCCATTTCAATTATTACTTTTGTTTGTTTTTGTTATCATATTGGTTTGGCTTTAGTTTCTGCCACCTTTTGGCATGCAAATTTGAATTTGAATGAAACTGCTGGCAGCGTGCGCGGGACGGTACAGACATTTATCATATGCGGCGGAAACTCGTATTTTTTTCAATTCTAGTTACAATATTGTGTTACAACAACAATTACAGCATTTACAACAACAGACTGCTTGTTGTTGTAGTATTATTTGAAGCGATTGACATGTTGTAATTCCGCTTAATAACGGATGTGCTGGAGGGATATTTATGGTTGGGATTTGAGTTGGCTTTCATTTAGATTAGAATTTAATAAAAAAGTGATGTATGCTAAACACGTGCAACAACAAGTATCTCCGCAGGTGTCAATTTATTATAGCGTTTGCATTGATGACAATATTTTGACAATAACAACGTCAACAATTAACATGATGGAAGTGGCTTTGAGAAAACTAGACGATTTTAGATATACAAACATATATATACCATACATATAAATTGGGAGACATAGGCACACACACATTGGCTTCCGGCTTTTGACCGGCTTTGAATTTCATAGCACACATTTTCTTTTGCCAAATTCAAGCTATGCGAGCAGACTCCCAAATTGAAAACTATTTTAGCAGCTTACGTGTGTATTATCCAATTATTTTATACCTGCAGCGTATTTGTTTTCACTAAATGAAAATATTTTTCCGAATTCATTCTAATCTAAGGAAATTCAAAGCTTGCTGTAGATTGCAAAATGCTCAAGGCCAATTCAAGTTGGTTTGTAAAACAAAGAAAAATTATATTTGCACCTGCATATTTTTATTTTCATTGCACATAATCGGCACAAAGAGTTTCTAGTTATTTCATAATTGGTAAAATTATTTGGAAAATGTCTTCACACATACACACATGTGCCATATGTATTGTTATTGTAAGTGTTTGTTCAAACTACTCGAAATGTATACTAGGGTGTGTAAAAAAATCGATCTAGTGTGACAACATAAAAAAGGGTTGTTTGAAAAAAAAATGCTACTGTATCAGAAATTTTAAAATATTAAAGGTATACGAGTATTTATACTTATTTTAAAAATACACAGCACAATTTTTGTAGGAAAAAATTAAATAGTATTTTACGAGTTGCACGAGATCTCTAACGACACTAAACTAAGATCCACTACTGCAGTGATTCCGTCTTTCTTCGTGAATGAAAATTGCAAGAATATCTCTCTAGAAGATATTGTCAGTACAATAACCTACGGTCGAAACAAGTTAATAATTGACAAAATGGCGTATTTCACAAAAAGTTGATTCTTGCCTCAAATTTTGTTCGTTTTTAGACTGCCAAATTCGATTTTTGATCAGAAACTGGTAGATCATTGTATTGAGAACTACATAACATACACAGAACAAACAGAATTTGATAGTACTTGGATAATTTGTCTCCGAGTAATCACTTAAGCAAATTTAAAAAGTATAGCTTTGAGAAAAACACATTCCAAGGCAAACTGATGGAGCTGATTGAGCTGCAGGGCTACACTTTAGAATCCTGTAACACAAAAACTATTTGAGGTATCGATTTAAAATTTTAGTATGTTATTTTTGAAAGTATAACCTATCGAAATGTAAAAAAAAAATTATTTTTTGTTTGTTTCTAATTCCACACTTGGTGTGCCCCTTAAGTGCTTTCTTCATACTTGGGCATAGTATTGCTTCTGTTGTTTAAGAAAATATAAGAGAATTAAAATTTTTTTTATATTAAATACTTTCTATAAATATTTATAAGAATTTGAAAAAAAGAAATTCGT